CTATTCTTTTATGGAATGTTATGACAGGATAACCAAAAGCAAAACTTGATGGTCATAATGGTTTTGTACTATCAGTCTGCTTTTCTCCTGATTGTACTACGTTAGCAACTTGTAGTAGCGATAACTCCATACGTTTATGGGATGTTATATCAGGATTATAAAAAGCAAAATTCAATCATCATAATAATTGGGTCTTATCTCTATGCATCTCTCCTGATGGTACTACATTAGCATCTGGTAGTGGAAATAAGTCTATCTGTTTATGGGATGTTAAGACAGGATTATAAAAATTTAGTTTATAAGGTCATGATAGTTTTGTACTCACGATATGCTTCTCCCCTGAAGGTACTACATTAGCATCTGGTAATGATGATAATTCAGTCAATTTGTGGAACTGTAAGACAGGAGAACATAAATTCAAACTAAAACATCATAGTAATTGGGTACTTTCAGTATGCTTCTCTCCTGATGGTACATCTTTAGCATCCAGTAGTTAAGATAAGTCTATCTGTTTATGGGATGTTAAGACAGGATAATTAAATGCTCAATTTGATGGTCATAGCGAAGAAATCAACTCGGTTCGCTTCTCTCCTGATGGTACAACATTAGTATCTGGTAGTAGAGATAATTCAGTTCTTTTATGGAATCTTCACACAGGTAAAGAAATTAAACCCTCGTATAAAAATTATTATCACATTTTAAGATAAGTTTAACTAAAAAATACTTTATTTTTCACCGATCCTCATTTAAGCATTCATTTTTATTTATTGTTTAGACCAAAATAATATTCTCTTTAAATCCCAATCCCTCATTACCTAATCAAAAGGTGCTTTAATATTAAAAGGAGAATTTGTGACTATTTTTGGCAAAGATTTAAGAGCATTTTTTGAAGAAGAAGGGTGTTCTATTTTAGAAAACTAAATATAATTTTAAAAAAAAATAAATTGATAATTATTCAGAATGTTATAATTATTACATATATTAATATTGTTCTATTTATAATTTTTGAATATGCTTTAACACAATCAAATTAGTGCTTTTATAATTTTTCTAAATGAGCATTCATTAAATATTGTTATATACCTCAAAAAATATTATTTGATTCTAACTATATACTAGAATTGTAGTCCTATACAGTTAATGACTAAAATAAAGCATAAGTAATATCGAGTATTTCCAGAACCGCTAGTTTAGCTCAAAACTTGGATGAGATTTAAAAAAAAAAAACAACAAAAGTTTTACCTAAATTTTAAGCAATATTAAACTTAATATAATTGAATTGAACAAAACTCTTTTGGATGCTACTTGAATTATCATAAAAGCTTCAAATTAGAATTTATTAAGAAATTTAGTTTAATTTACTTTTCGTAATTTTATAAATTACAAAAATAAATGACCAAAATTAATTCATTCGAATTTTTGTTTCTTTAAGTTATAAATAAAATATTAAACATTATTGTTTACTAGGTACAGACATCGTTGTATTTCAATCCCTGTTTTGAAAAAATCAACTATTCTGCACAACCGATCTTTCCTCTATGCATATGATTAAAGAACCCTAATTTAAGGAGCTGAATAAGGTTGTTAATCTTATTTTCCCTAAACCGATAATTCCTTCTGATAACTCTTCTTTCCTATGTGTATAAATTTAGTAATAAATAAGGGCTATTTATATAATAAATCTCACCTTAAATTATTTCTCAAATATTTCATTTTAAAACTTTTTACCTATTTTCTTGCCTCCTCTCTCTAAAATTTATAATTATCAGATTTCTAAAAATATTTATCAAATATTATGTGTAAGAATCAATTATCAATATTAAAGCAGGTATCAAATAAAATATGGAGGGGTTTTTGTGAGATGATCTATATTTACAA